CACTCACTTGTGTATATATATATCTAAGGATCATTTTATCAGCATTGTTCCTTTTTTGGCAAGAGAAAAAGCCAGTGGGAGTTTAAATGGTACAAAAATAACTAGAGGCTGAAAAACTCTTGTTAAGCTGTGGATCTGTGGACAAAAAAACAAATGGCCAAAAGGGAAAATCACAGAGAGACAGTACTGTGCAAGAGTCTTGACCCACCCAACATTTCTTTATATTTCACTAGCAAAATGGGAAATAGGCAATGCCATTTGTTGAAATGTTCAAAGATATAAGGCAGAAACAGTGTTTGCAGATTTTTGAAAAGCTTGAAAGTCAATATCTGGTATGACGCTTTCATTTAATTTCTTTAAGTAGTCTTTAGGAAATGTCCTCCAGACTTCCTGAAGAACATTTAAAGCTTTTCTTTGGATGTTTGCTGCATTGAGCTCTGTGCTCTGTCTACATGATCCCACACTGTTTCAGTAATGTTGAAACAGGGAGCCCAGTTCATGACCGATACTGTTCCGTTGTGTGTTTTTCCATTCAGGTAAGCTTTTACTGCATCTTCAGTGTGTTTGGGAGCGTTGCCACTAAGATGATTATCAGATGGTACTGAATGGTGGACCGAAATCTGACAGTATCAGATCTGACAGGATCCCCAAGGGCATGTCTGTCAGATGATAATACTATTACTAGAATAGCGTTATAAGCCTGCCACTTCTTCGTTTGGCCCTTGCTTGTTCAGTTCCCTAAAATTCTTTAAAGATGCTGCTCAGAGGTCAGTGTAAAGTGGCTTAATAAACAAAAACATTCCTGTGAAAATGCTCAGGTACAAGCTCTAACCAGTGTCCAAAGAAAAATGTTGAAAGACTTTCAGAAAGCCTGGAGGGCTATTGCTCAAGAGCACTTTAAAGATTACAAGAGTGTTTGGCTGCTTGGAAGTAAAGTATAATGAAATTAGGAGTTGGTCAAGATTTCTGCACAGTATTCTCAGTAGCAAAGTAGCAATGACTTTTTTTTTTCTAAATTCAAAAATGACCACAACATTTGTGTTTTCTGGATAGAAGGAGCTGCAGACTTCATTTTATTTGTCTTTGTCTCCAAGGTTGATCTTAGCTAGTGAGGACACTTCTGCCTCTGCAGTGGCTTGGTTTGTAGGAGATAATCAAAGAAGTAATCCATAATGCAATGCTACCCAACCTCGTGTGGGTACACAAAGTGGAATGTAGAAGATGATTACAAAGACATCAGTAAAACGAAACATCCACATTCACAAAATGTTCTAATTTCATATTTTCTTGTTGTTTGTGTGTAAATATATTTTTTTTAATGTTTGCAGTCCTCACAGTGATTTAGATAAAACAGTGGAGGTTCGAGAATAACTCAAAGACATAAAGTTGTAAATAAAACGCTCAGATTCAGCTTTTTAATTCAACACATTCAGCAGTTTAAACATTTCAAAGCTTAGTCCAGCGTTTGGGAGAGATTCTTGCTGTGTGTTTATCTGGGTTACATAAGAAGACCGATAACTCTTTCTTGTTGTTGTATTAACTATGAAGCTACAGCTACCAGCTGGTTAGCTGAGTGCGGGATAAAGACTGGAAACAGCTAGCATGGGTCTAACAAAAGCAATAAAATGGACCTAAAAAACATCCACAGAAGATGCTTTCAGCTGCTCCCTTCTTTCCAAGGGGAGGCGTAGCAAATGGTTCCAACCATTTCCTCCTGATAATCAGTCTATTCATTTATGTTTCCAATGATATCTCATGTGTTTGTGTGGCCTCTGATCCAAAGAGACAGGAAATCACAATAAAGTTAAACTGAAAGATACTTTTTTCCTGTAGTTCTCAGGAGGATATACACTCGGCTTTGCTGATGCAGTGTCCCTCCCACATTCATCCAGGCTTGGTTCTGGCACTGAGGGAGTACACTGGCTTGAGTCACTAGAAGCTGGGTTTGTGTCTCCTCCCAGTCTTAATTTTTTTTTTTGTATGTATGTAAAACAAATGAGTCGACCACAAAAATGCTCAGTTGAATGTCTGAATAGAAATCTATAAACTGGGAGTCTTAACATTTAGATGTGCTGTGAAGGGAAACAGAGGTTTATGGTTGCATGCCATCACGTGGACAGAATGAAATCTTTCAATTTTCCAGATTTTTCTTGATATGAAATCTTTAACACACAAAATGCTACTTTCAGCTACTCCCTTACTGATCACGTTAACAGGAAGCATGTAAACAAACATTGTGCTTGAATCATCACAAATGAATACAAATGTAGGAAAGCCTACACAATATCACTGTTGCTATAATGTGTTTTCACTTATTCAAAGCAAATCCATGTATGGAACCTCTGACATTTATAGTTTTATAAACATAGCCCACATCCTGTACAGCTGCAGTTTATGATGTCCTTGCCTGTAGCTACAGGTAGCACCTCAGTCAGTTACACAGAGGCCTATCAACAAATGTTGGTATTAAATATCCTGGACACTTAAAAAAAAATGTTGACATTAAGGTATTTTTAAACCTTTAGATTTTCTTTTCTCTAGGCTGTGGGCATTAAAATGGTCTTTTTAATGATCAGTGTTCATACATAAAATGACTCAAATCAGCTACTTTATGGACGTATTTAATCCAGACCTTTTGATGATGGTGTTTAAAGTGTGCACATTACCGCCACTGTGCAACAGAAATGCTTTTTCTGCAGACGTCTTGAGGGGGTGTCACAACACGTAACATCTGTTTCCAAAATGTCCAAACTGCTTTACTACAACATCTGTATTCATCATGTGAAAAAGCTTGTTTTTTCTTTCAGAAACACAATGACTGGAAAAGAGCAGCAGTAAAACTGTAAATTCTTTTCTGTATCTTGGCAGAGGGTTAATTTGGTCTGACAATAATTAGATCCTCTAGGAGTGTAGTGGTTTACACATTTTCCTAATAAGTAAAGAAAGTGTCTTCTCCCAGTTTGAGACTGGGAAGCACAACAGGAAGGGCATCAAGTGTTTAAAGATATCTCAGACAATCAAACTACCTGCTGTGGTGACTCCTTATGAATAAAAGAGCAGCTGAAAGTAGCTTTTTAATAGAGCAGTGGAAGTTGTTTCATTTTATCCCGTTCATATGTGTGTGAAGTCAAAAGGATGAATTTTAGCATGCTTTATGGTGTGCACAACATTATTCTGTCTCAAGGAGGAAGCTTGGAAAACATTTTAAAGCTGTATGAAGCTATTTCCAGTCCTCGTGTGAAGCTAACCTAACCCAGCTGCAGCCTTACACTAAACAGTCATCATATGTAGCTCGCAACAAGAAAGACATCATCTGAAGATAATAATTTACTCCTTTAAGGTCATAGTGTGTGTTTGTGAGTAACCAGATTATCTTGTATCTGCAGTGTCAATGAGCAAACTCACTCTGCTTGTGACTAGAGGGGAAACTGCAGCAGATACCCAAAACAGGGCTGCTGTATAGAAATGTTCCAGAAATGTCACAAAGGGGAGTTGATGTTGATGAAACAAACAAAACTATACAATAAACTGCACTAAAATAAAGTTATTCTCAAAAACAGGACAGCAGTATAATCGTGTGACTCGTTTCTTCAGCGCGCTGCCTTTTATGTGTTTATTGTACAGTTTCAATCAGTGTTATTTTCAGTGTTTACAGTATCTTCTCTGCACTCTTTTCTGTCTCGGCTTAGAGACTTTGAGAAAATGACCAACCAGAAAATGTTTACACTGATTTTGTAGTAATTCAGAGTTTTCTTATTGAACTGTATAAAAATGCATCTGTCTTTTATACCAAAATAAAAAGAATCTGTTTGTATTTGCTTGTTTTTGTTGTGGCTGTTTTAAGTACTGAATCAGTGCATGTTCTGCATTTTAGTGTGAAATGTGACAAACAATGATTGTAATTCTTAATTTTGTTATTTTGGGTTTTGTGATTCCATGTTTAGAAGTGGATGATCTTGGTTGGGTAATGCTGCCATCTACTGGATCAGCTGGATCAAGTTCATTCCCACTCTAAATTGTAAGACTTTTGAAAGGTTACTAGCTACATTTCATAGAGCAATAGTCATAAGAAAATGGTTTTAGAACATGAAATTATTAGATTGTGCTGCGTTAGAAACAAAAAACACAAGTACACATACTTCAGATTATTTTCAATCAAATTATTTATTTCTGCATCCCTCCAGTTCATCTCAGTCATCTCAAGGTGCTTAATATTGTATTAGCGTTCCTGCATGACCAACTACTTGGTGATGGTGCATTGAAGAGAACTCCCTGAACCAGCTTAAAGAGGGGCAATCATCTGCCATGACCGAATGGAGGAGGATCAACAAATAAGACAAAACACAAAACTACAGGCAAGAGCAGAGAAAAGTTACAGTAGTGCCATATAAACGCACTAGGAGTGAAAAGAGGAGAATTGGTGCATCATGGGAAGTCGCCCAGCAGGTTGGGCCTACAGCAGCACAGCTAATGCCACAGTCACATTAGAACAAAGCAACCAATCGGTCTGAATTTATAAGTCAGACAGCAGTTATTTGCTAACCTTTGTCTGTCTCCCACCAGCTTACCTTTACAACTGGCCACCCAAAGGTTTAGGATTTAGCATGTGGCACATTCACAATCTCTGGGCCACCCGCTGCAACTATTTGCAATCAGTTGCCAAATGCAACCACGAATTGTTCCTAGTTGCAATGAATTAGCCATTCATTTTTTAGTCTAGTGTGATTGATTCATAAATGATCATCCAGAATCTTCATGAAAAATGAAAGCTTTGAGTCTAATCTTAAAAGTAGAGAGGGTGTATGTCTCTGAGCTGGTTGCATAGGACAGAGGCCTAACACCTGAATCCTTTCTCTAGAAACTCTAGGAACCAACAACAAGCCTGCAGTCTGAGAGCAAAGTGCTCAGGTTAGCTAAAATGATATTGTGAGGCCTTTAAGGTATGACAGGGCCAGATTACTCAGCACTTCTCCCTTTGTAGTCCTCTGTTAATACACTTCCTGCAGGATTTAGCAGCACTAGCCATGTAATCAATTCAGCTGCTCTTCATCAGAGTTAAGACGATGTTACATAGAGGTCAGGAAGTCGGGAAGTTCATATTAAAAAGACAAATGCAGGAAAACAGAGTGAGGCAGGTCCGGGAAGAGAAGCTGATAGCTCAAAAGGCTTCAATTAAATATATAGAAACCAGGTCTAATAGTCAAAATATACTGTAATGACGATGTTACCGTCTACTACAGTAGGGGGCGACTTGCACCTTTAGTCTAACCACAGTAAACCTAAAGACGAGGAAGTAAAGTTGCCCATGAGCAGTCACGTAATTTCCTGCAACCTGTGGAGGTAACTGTCGCGGAGGTCCGTCTGCATCTGTTTTTGTTTTCTCACAGCGGTAAGAATATTTTCTAAAGTTACGTTACATTAAACTTGAATATACCGAAGAATCAAGTGTGTGACAGTCTTAAAGTGTTAAACCTGTCAAAGCGAGTGTTTGTTTTTAGCTGTCAGCGCTTGAGATAATCACGCATGCGCAGACCAGAACGTCCTTTATTGGTCACAGCTGATTGGTGTAGAAAAAGGTTCTTCAATACTTTATCTGAATTGATAGACACTTTAAATATTTACTGGTTTGACGGGGTTTTGTTATATTAGTGTGAATTTGAAGGTTGTGTGTGTGTGTGTGTGTGTGTGTGTGTGTGTGTGTGTGTGTGTGTGT